AGCAAAGGAAACCATAGGGAAAACAAGACAACAACCTGCGGAATGGGAGAAAATTTTTGCAAATGAAACTGACAAAGGCTTGATCTCCAGAATATATAAGCAGCTCATAGACTTAGTAAGAAAAAAAACAAACCACCCAATCCAAAAATGGGCAGAAGACCTACCTAAACAAGCAATTCTCCAAGGAAGACATACAAATGATCAATAGGCACATGAAAAAATGCTCAATATCACTATCAGAGAAATGCAAAACAAAATTACAATGAAGTATCACCTCACACCAGTCAGAATGGCCATCATTCAAAAATCCACAAATGACAAATGCTGGAGAGACTGTGGAGAAAAGGGAACCCTCCTACGCTGCTGGTGGGAATGCAGTTTGGTGCAGCCACCGAGAAAAACAGTATGGAGATTCCTCAGAAGACTAGGAATAGACTTATCGTATGACCCAGGAATCCTGCTCCTGGGCATATATCCAGAAGGAACCCTACTTCAGGATGACACCTGCACCCCAATGTTCATAGCAGCACTATTTACAATAGCCAAGACATGGAAACAGCCTAAATGTCCATCAACAGATGATTGGATAAAGAAGAGGTGGTATATTTATACAATGGAATACTACTCAGCCATATAAACCGACAACATAACACCATTTGCAGCAACATGGATGCTCCTAGAGAATGTCATTCTAAGTGAAGTAAGCCAGAAAGAGAAAGGAAAATATCATATGAGATCACTCATATGTGGAATCTAAAAAAAAAAACAAAAACAAAAAACGAAGCATAAATACAAAACAGAAATAGACTCACAGACATAGAATACAAACTTGTGGTTGCCAAGGGGGCAGGGGGTGGGAAGGGATAGACTGGGATTTCAAAATTGTAGAATAGATAAACAAGATTACACTGTATAGCACAGGAAGATATAATACAAGATCTTATGTTAGCTCACAGAGAAAAAAATGTGACAATGAATATATACATGTTCATGTATAACTGAAAAATTGTGCTCTACACTGGAATTTGACACATTGTCAAATGATTATAAATCAATAAAGAATGTTAAAAAGAGAGAAAAAAAGAAAATTAAAAGTGGGCAACATGTTTTTCCTCTGGCTCAATGATGGTCTTAGAGAGTGAAATTTAAGCTTTGACTATGAAAGAAAAAGAGTCAGCACTAAGAACAGCAGCAAAAGAGCACCAATGAGGAGATGCTGCAGCTTCCCTGAGGTGGGAAGTCTGAATTATCCCAGAGCCTGAACTGATGCCAGTGTGGCTGGAGCCCAGTGTTCAAGTGGGTCGGTGGCACAGAAGGAAGCTAGCGAGGAAGACAGGAACCTGCAGGCAAGAGGAAGAGGTTGTTCTTGGGTCACAGAGCAAGGGAATGGTAGACCAGGGATGTGATCCAAGGTCACGATGATCCCCACGCCTCCACTGCACTGTGGTACCCTATTCTGGTGGTTCACAAAGTGTATTCCATAGATTAGCAACATCACTGTCACCCAAGAATTTGTTAGAAATGCACATCCTTGGATCCACCCCAGACTTACTGAGTCAGAACTCTGGGGCCAGGGCCCAGCAATAAGTTTGAACAAGATTGGTATTCACTACCTACATGAAGATAAAAGAACTTTAATTCCCCCTTTCCTCTCACTTGCACCTTTCCCACTAACCAGCGATAAGCCTTTCAACGATCTAATCATTTTGGTGATAGCACTGTGTCCTTTAGTACCCAGCGATCAGGTGGATGATTACTCATGGCCTGCAGGTTCACTCAGCTGAGCTTTGCCATGTATTCTGCTCACATTCCCTTCTCTCTGTTGCAGGACAATTCGCCCCAACAGTGCAGTACGTTCCATCTACAAAGCTTCAGGCTGCTCCGATAACCCCAACCACCACGTCAACTACCTGGAGCATGTAGTTGTGCGCATAACCATCACCCACCCCAGGAGGGGAGACCTGGCCATCTACCTGACCTCCCCCTCGGGAACCAGGTCCCAGCTTTTGGCCAACAGGTACAGTGACGGCCCCTGACACTCAACTACTCTTTAAGATTGAAGGAGTCAGCTGTTCCTTCCTTCCTTACTACCTAAGAACTAGGGGTGGGGAATACTTAGATATCATGATAGGACAGTCACAGTTTCATTGCCCACACGTGAGCAGAGTGTGAAGCTGCCTAGAGTCCGTAGGCATGGAACAGTGCAACATGCAAGAGTTGGGCGACACTGAAAGAATGCTGCAGAAAAGTTGAAGGCCACCTGTCGTTCTTTTTCCTAAAAAGAGAAATGCAGAGCACTAACTCCTTAGGCCTCTGAGGTTCTCTCCCCTGCCCTTCAGTGTCTGCTGGCATTTGTTACAGACTAACTGAATGGTCTTGCCCAAGCACTTCAAAATTAAAGGAACTTCTATCAGCTTTAAAACAGGTCCTGGTGAAATTTTTTCTACAAAGAGCTAGTTAGTAAATGTTTTGAACTTTTCAGGCCATGCTTCTGTTGCAACTGCTCAACTCTGCCATTAGAGTGCAAAAGCCACTGTAGACATATAAATGAATGTGCATGGCTGTGTGCCAATAAAATTTTATTTACACTAACAGGCTGAGGGCCGGATTTGGCTTGAGGACTGACTGTCGTTTGCTAACCCTTGTTTTAAAGTCTTTATTGCCCAAGAGGGCACACACAGTTTCTCTTAGTGGCCTCTTGCCTTCTCCCGACTCCCTCCAGACATTTCTCCAGCAGGTAATTGTACTGCCAGGATGATCTCGCACAAGTTTTCTTTTGCTGCATTAGCTTTTCCAGTTGTTGGAACACGGGTGGAAGGTACTTGTCAGCACATGGGACCAGAGTGAGGAAATGTCAGGCTGTCTTCTATGCCCTATTCCTATTACGGTTCTAAATACAAGCCACGGCCAGACGCCTAAAAGGTTTCTTAATTTGGTGTTTTTCTCCAAGAGGAACGTTTAATGGGAGCAAAAAAGGGAGCAAAAGCCTTATTGTCAGTGGCATGTAGAGTCCAAATGAAAGCCAGCCTTTTATGTCAACATAGCCACCTGTCTACATGCCAGGTGACCATGGCAGTGGTGATGTCTGTTAGGACACTAACAACAGTTGAGAAGCCAAGGCCAGTGCCAACCTGCAGAATCAAAGGTGAGACTGAGCCGTTGCCAGTTGCTTTTCAAAATCCCCAAATTCATCTGCTGTAGGAGAATGAGAAAAAGAGCAAATAGTATTTCTAGGCGATAGTGACTGGGAGTACAGATTCCAGAATCTTTCGTTGCCTTTTATTTCTGGGCTTGGAAGACTTCTTGTATTCTTCTTTAAAACCTGACGTCTTCCATTAGGGCAGAGGAAAGCCTGGGCTTCATACTTTATGAAGCGCAGCTTTACTGCGATAGTTGTGTATGCAGGTTCAAGGAACGGAAGGATGCTTTGGCATCGGGTCACCGGGCATGCTCTCCTCCCTCCGCGGAAGGGGTCTCAGCTGCCACCGGGTAATTGCCGTTACCTGCCCGATGCTTCTCTCCAGCAAGCAAGGCGTTCAGATGCGCAATTGCATGATTAATGGAGGTCACACCAGCTGTTGTTACCGAAGCCGGGGGAGACCTTTTTCTTGCTTTTTTCTTTTTTTTCTTTTCTTTACCACCGTTCATTTGCGTTGAGCTTGGAATATTCAGGTGGCACACTGTGAAGTACAAAGGCTGGCTTCACACGTGTGCAGCTCTTCTCTCCGGAACCCCTGCCATTGTAGAAAAACAGTCCCTCCACAGTTGCTGTTGGCTTGGAAAACTCAGGCCCTTCAGTGTGTCTGGGCTCTTCCTGCATATTTCAGTGTTTCTTGTTGGCTTCCTCCGAAATGACTTCAGTGAGGAAACTTGCAAGCAGAGGAGCTGCGGCTTCCCTCACACGCATTTGGTGGATTGCAGCGTCACTGGCTTCAGTCTCATGTGCATTCTTCAACAGCAGACTCCACTCTGCTCTTTGCAAAGTGCTGAAGCCAGAAGTGCTACATGACTTGTGTCAGCAGAAAGAAACAGGCATTTCAGATGCTCGGCGACCAGTCTTGAGGTTTTCTTCAGTCTCCCCCATCGTGACCCCTTGAGAGTAAGGTTCTTACCTAGAGTGCATCTTCTTGGTCTGGAGAGTTTCTTAAAATGCTGCTCGTTTATCTGTCTTTCATCTCGTTGCTGAAAATAAGTAGCCACACCCAAAGCAGGTAGACAGACTGGAGTGGAGGGAGGGGACTGGTGGCACTGAGAGATGTAAAGGGTATTATAAATGAATTTATAATATCCACAGCTCCCCTTAAACACTGCTCTGAGCATCTAACCCTTTAAATGTAGAACAGCTGTACGTGGTCCCAAAACCACACCTGGCCTCCCCCCGGGGCCTGGCTCCCGTGTCCTTGTGCTTGATGCTAGTAGCGTCCCTCCTACCGAGGCAGCTAAGAAGAGGTGGTTTCTTTTGGCATTTTTTCCTTCTGGCATATTCCAAAGCTTTAATTTTATGAGAGGAAATCTCTACTCAAAACCTCCCAGTCTTTGACCTCGTGGCAAGGAACCCTGGTGTCCTCTCACCTTGGCCCTGTTTCAAAGCACATTTCCAGGATGGGAAGCTGAGGGCAAGAAGCACGACAAGGCGGGCAGGGGGCGGAGGGCAGGCCTGCCGTGCTCCTAGTGGCCTTCACGTTGGCCTGTGCGGCAGCAGTACCTTCCCTCAAGGAAGAGGTGAATAGGGCAGGGTTTAGAAGGAACTGGCATGTCAGGCATTATTACTGAGGGCAGTAAATCATCCCCCTGTTGGACACTTATCTTTCAAAGAAGTCCAGATTTCTGAGGATCACGTGAAGCAAAGAGCACTGTGCAGTTAAAAGACAGGAATTCTGAAAAGCTGAAAACATAAAGTTTTCCTAGCAGGGCCGGGGGACAGCGAGGTTCATTTCAGGTAAAGAGGTAAGAACTCTGGTGCACAGCGTGGTCCCCACCTGCCCTCTCCTGTTCCTCCGGGAGCTGCAAGTCTTCACAGCAGAATGTGTATTGGCCGCTGTGAGGAAGAAGGATGCTGGGGTCCAGCTCAGACTCAGAACCTGAGGCTCACTCAATGTCACCCCTCCTTTATGCTGCAGAAACTTGACACACAGGATAAACCAGGAGAGAAAGCTGAGAGGACAGCAGCCCCCCCCCTTATTATCCCCATTTCAGTACTGACAAAACTGGCGTCCTAGTCTTGGGACTGGAAAATGCTATCCATCAGAGTCAAGTCCCTAAGGAAATAAAGGGGTCATGGTCAGCTTCCCGAAATCCTTATTTTCCTGGCCGTTTTGGTAAGGAATGTCTTCCGTGTTGCTTACCCTCTCACCACAGCAATTCCTAGGGAACTGATGTGCCCCCAAGTCGCTGAACACTTTGCCTGCGTGGGCCGTCTGGAGCCCCTCAGGGCCTCCCTGTCCTGGCCGATGGGCACTTGCTGGAGCTCCTGTGGAGAACAGCTGTTAGAGGAAGGACGGTTTACCCAGCATCTGCAGGTGCGGAGCCCTGGAAGGCACTCAGCGGCAGTCAAAACTAGTCCAGCTTGAGCTTCCTGCCCCATTAGCCCGGCAGGCAAGCCCTCCTGGCAGGGCAGGTTGATAATTTAGTGGGTGGGAGCCCCGAGGAAACAGAGCCGTCCTGGAATGGACACACAGTTCCTTCTCTTCCCTTTGTTCTCCCCTGCCCGTCCACCCTGCCTAAGAAAAGCCCAAACTGAATAAGTGACACAGATGGTTTACTTCTGGGGAGACTATGGGGATGTGGGATGGGTGGGGGGATCTGGGTGGTCTTGGGTCCCTTTAAAATACATGAAAGAAGTGGGGAGGGTATAGCTCAGTGGTAAGTGTGTGCTTAGCAGGCAGGAAGTCCTGGATTCGATCCCCAGTACCTCCATTAGAAAAAGAAAAAAAATAGAATACATCTAAGAGCAACTTTAGCTGTAAGCCTTTATACGACCACATGTTCGAATTCTGCCTGGTACAGATTTTCCAACAAAAGCTCTTTCCATCGGATTCTTCCGTCAACTGTGTTTGTTAGAATTATGAAAGGCTGGCTTTTTTTTTTCTTCCCCTAAACCTCCCCTTCCCCCAGCCCATTGAGTCTTAGATTTGGGTTTAACTGCATTGACTCTCTATTCCAAATTTTGGCCTCTAACTGAAAGGTGAAACTTTGCTTCTCTTTCTCAATTTAATTATGGGTGAACATCTCTGCTTCTAATTATGGTCTTAAGTAGAAAGAAGGTACACGTTCTAGTCTGCAAAATCTATAGGGTTCTATAATTAACTGTGTTCAAATGTGCTGTTTATATTTGACTATTTCTGTCACTGCCCAAATGTTCAGTGACACACTGTTGACATTTGTAAAGTGTCACGCTATATAAATGTATTTATACTTGCAGTAAAAATTATACTTTTGCAGTCGAAGCTTGACACTCTAGCAAGGCCTCACCATAAGAGCGTTCTTCCTTTATTCAAAAGAAGGTATAGACTCTGGAGTTGAACAGAGTTGGAAATGTCTTGATTTCACCCATTTTTACGTTTGAGTTTGGAAAAGTGATTCCTCTAGAAAACAGACGTAATAGTATCCGCCTCACAGAGTTGTTACAGCAGTAAATAAGGTCCCGGACAGCAAGCCCTGAGCCCGGCCCCACGCACAGGAAGCGCTTACCAGCGCCGACCCCGGTTTACACGGTGCTTCTCAAGGCACCTGGTGAACGGCTCTATCACGCACAGATGGCTGGGCCCCTCTCCCCGAGAGACTATTCCATGCGTCTGGGTGAGGTCCATGAATCTGCATTTCTGATAACCTCCAAGGTGGTGCTGCAGCTGCCTGTCCACAGACCACACTTTTACATTGCACCGATTTAAAAGATCACCCGGCTTTTTCAAACATAATCTTTTTATTTTCATGTCATTGAAAGACTTGTGAGCAACAGGCTGCTGGATGCTGGGCAAGTCGTTTACAAAGGAGTTTCTAATGTAAAACAGGTAATTCAGATAAAAGCCACCTACTATTAAACACTAAAGCTTCCAGATGATTAAGCGCTTACATCATACACCTACAAGGGGGAGCACATTTTGAGGTTGGTGGGTGTGCATGTTGAACTTTTTTTTTTTTTAAACCATCTTTTCAGGTATTCCAAACCTCTAGAACGAGGACTTTTCTCGCAACCTTTCTTAAAGAAGCAGTTTAGATGAGGAGAAGGTGAAAAACTTAATAGTGTGTTTGAAATAGTCTATTTCAGAAGCAAATTATTTAAAACTTTATAAAGCCAAACAGCTAAGGAAAATCAAAAACTCAGTTACCACTGAGCCAGATGAGTGCTTCAAGCATCCTGTGAGCTTTCTGTTGAATTGTGATGAAGCACTAGAAAAATTAAAATTCAAAAAAGTGAACCAAAAGAAAAAAGAAAACTTCCCAAAATACCGGTTTATTGCCTAATTCTATAGTGAACATAAATACTATATGGGTGGTAGTGGATGATTCTGAAATTAAGATCCATTTACAATTTTAGAAATAATTATAACACATAGCTGTCAGTGCTTGTAAAATGTCTTGTTATTTAGTTGCCATAACATCATAGAAGAATGTTGTGGCCTTGACACATTGGCTAGACTCTTTAAGTCAAAGGAAGGGGGAAAGCTTACAGTAATTATATGAGTTATTTCCTGAGTTAATTCCTCAAAAGGATGTACTACATTTAATGGCAGTCATTTCTACCAGGCTTCATCCAAAGTAATTTATTTGAAAACCACTTACAGGGATAGGGCTGTGGGGCACCATTTTAATAACTGGATGCATAATTGTGCCACCACGTGCATATATCATTTCACTGAGCACATGATTATGAAGTCAACTTGACAGAACAGGGCTTCCCTGCAATAGAAGATGTGAATATGGGCAGGGAGTTAATTTCCTCCAGCTTTCAGCATCCCAGCCCTGCTTTCTTGACATTTGAGCCACACCAATCATGTTGGCATGTGTCTGTTTTCTTCACTGTTGGCACAGCACAGACGTTCAGGCTGGGCACTGGACTTTTTAGTTGATAAGCGAAGACCACACAGTTAGAATCTCTTCAGTGGTGTCCAGTGGTCTGACACTTGATTGTCTTAAGTATGTTCTTTGGAACACCAATCTGCTACCTACATTACCTTGTGTTACATGCAGGTGGTACAGGGTCTTAAAATAGTCCAGTGCTAAGAATGGGGAATAGTTTTCAGTACTGAATCAGAATTAAAATAAAAGGGTAAGTCAGCGCCTAGCTAGTTGAAACAACAACAATAATCAGAGTCTATTTCTTTCCCCATCAACTCTTTTAGCAAAATGCACTGATCGTGTTTGGCTGCATTTTAATTCCTCTCAACTTTTATGTCCACATGAAATTAATGAGCATTCCAGCTCTGCATAAAGTGAAGAGACTGGGGTGGGAACCACTTAGCCAGATAGACAAAGCTCATTTATATTCAGGCTTTGGAACCCTTATTTGAATTGGAACCCTTATTTGCTTACGGGTATTTCTTTTGGGCACCCAGTTTATATTTAATTTTCATTCCAGATGTGATTTAAAAATGATTGGTGGCAATGCAATGGGTTTTCAAAGGTGGACAGGAAAGGGTGTAAGGGAAGAAACAGAGGGTCTGCTAATCCAGCAGTCAAATAACTGACCCATGAGTAATTATAAGTTGGCTGAGGTTGTGGAAACAAGACTGCCCCTCATGTGATGGCAGCCTCCAGTCTCCTTTGTAGTTTTTGGACATGAGGCAATGAGCCAAATGTTCTGTCTAAACTGTTTCGGAATTGCTTTTAAGTTCGGCCCTCTTGGAAAGGTATTAAGTGACAAGTTGTTGTTTCAGTGCCCTCAAATGGCACAAGAGCCCCAACAAATCAGAACCTAAATTAGAACTGTGGGCTCAGAAGTGGTTCTTAGACTGGTTTTCTCTCCCCATCCATTGCTATATCAATGTATTCTCTTCAGTAACACCTCTGTGGCAGGAAGAGCTATCTGAAAGGTTCCTCCTTGCCCACCTCTGTGTCTTCTTTAAACCCAACATGCACATTTTTGGGGTTTTATGTGAAGGATTCAGTATGTAAGTCTGTTGTTTCATGACCCAGCAATTTCTTCCTGTCCAAGTCCAGTTTCAAGCCATAAACCTATGAAGCAAGCCCTGTGGTGGTAGTGCCTGGATTGTAGGCTCTCCATAAAAGGTAGCATCCGTAATCTACTGAAGATGATTTACAGTGATGATGTAAGGAGCCACTGTCTCCATCCCTGTTATCCCTAGGGAGAGCCACCAGATCCAGCAAAGTCCTTACTGAAATACCACACCCTTCTGTTCAGAGATAACCTTTACAGACAGCATACAGATATTCTAAAAAACAGAAAAGGCCTTCCTGTCCATATAAAATTTGAAAATCACTGCCTCTCCATTATGGAGGTTAACAAAACATATCTGAAATTTCCAAAGATCGGAGCTGTTCTCCTGTAAAGAGATCTGTTCAACTTTTAACTCAGCCTTTCCCCCAGTTTTCTGACCATGGGACACTTTGAGAATGCAGCTAAATACTTTCTACGTTTCATCTTTCAAGGGCTCGCAAAAATATAGCAGGTGATCTTCCTGTTTATTGCTTTTCTTTAGGGGGAACTGCTAGGTATCAGCCATTTACCTAAATAACACAGTCCATGGTTATGCCACCCAACCCTTCAGCTTTAGAATCCAGCAGGCATTTTAGAGGGACTCAAATGCATCGACAGAACATTTTTTAAAAAATCAGAATTGTAATGTATTAAGTTATCAGGAGATTAACCTGGTTATTTTTGTTTTAAGATGGGCGCATTTTCTCCCAATGGGAAGATCCACAAAAAAAGGTCAAATTATAACCACCAGTTTCCTTGGCGAATATAAAATTAAAGCAAAAGTTGATTGCATGTCCTGAATAGCTGTCAACATCCAGTTGCCATAACCTTTGTGTATGTCTGCACTAAAGGACAGGTACATCCCAGAAACTGGACACGGCTGCTCCTGAGACAATGCCGGACGGAGATTTGCCTTAACAAAAATAACAGACGCACGTACTCTTCTTAAATACTTTAATTTTTTTTCTCTTGCCCCTTCTTTCACTTTCTACCTTCTAGGTTCCACCTCTGTGAACATATTTTGGGTATTTCTTGAGGTAGGCAAATCTACATCACATGTCTATATAATCAGTTTCTTCATGTACTAGTTTTATACATTAGCTATTGACATCTCTGTCTTCTTGATGAGGATTCTGTTTATTTTCCTTTATATTTTGTATCCCTCAGGATTTATTTCACAGAAAACAGAAGTCATTCTAGCTATTTCAAGCAGAAAGGTTTCACGCAGGGAAACAGAAATTTAAAAAGTCACTGGTGGGGAGGGATAGCTCAGTGGTAGAGTGTGTGCTTAGCATGCACATGGTCATGGGTTCAATTCTTAGTACCTCCATTTAAAAAAAAAGCTAATAAATAAATAAATAGACTTAATCCCCTCTCCCCAAAACAAAAAAAAAATTTTTTTAAGTTACTGGAAGAGCTGAACACAGAATCTAGGCTGCAGTTCCACACATGCCTCCCTGAACTAGATAAGATTAATGTCTTTTTACTGAGGCTTAATTTTACATGCAATTCACTTTTTAATGTGAATAGTAAGTTTTGATAAATATATATACAGCTGCATAACCATACACTCTTTTCAATAAAACAGTTGCTTCACTCCCAAAATTTCTACCATGCCCCTGCCTCGTCCCTCCTAGCCCCTTGTAACCACTGATTTGTTTGTTTGTGTTTTCTAGAATGTCGTATAAATTGAATCAATCTTTTGTGTCTGACTTAGCTTAATGCCTTTGAGATTCATTCCTGTTGTGGCCATTAGTAGTAGTTCAATAGTTTTTATTACTAGGTAGTATTTCATTGTATGAATATACCATGTGTTTACCCGTTCACTAGTTGATGGACATCTGAATTGCTAACAGTTTTTGGTGATTATGAATAAGGCTGCTGTGAACATTCATGTGGAGTTCTTTGGTCATATGTCTTCACTTCTCTCGGGTAAATATCTAGGAGGGGGTTGTTTGGTCGTATGGTAAGAATTGTCAGAACTTTTTCAGAGCAGCTGTACCATCTTGCATTCCCATCAGCAGTGTAAGAGAGCTCTGCTTGCTCTACATCTTCAGTACTTGGTGCTGTCAGCCTCCTGGGTAGAGTCTTAGCCTAGGTTTCCTGATCCCACAGCATGATCCCTTGCTTCCAGACTTGCTACTGCACAGCCAGCCCCATGCCTGTCTCCCTCTGGTAGAACAATGACATACATGTTTGGATCTACTAACTGGTGAAGTCTAGGACGAAGACAGCCTCCAGTGTTGAGCTGAACATGATTTTGATGATGGCTGCGGAGAGATCACTGATCCTGGTCTTGACTGGCACTGGGTTTCTAAATAACACACAAACACAATGTTTTATGGTTCTCGCTCAGGCTTTTTGATCACTCCATGGAAGGATTTAAAAATTGGGAGTTCATGACCATTCATTGCTGGGGTGAACGAGCTTCCGGTGACTGGATCCTGGAAGTTTACGATACTCCCTCTCAGCTGAGGAACTTCAAGACTCCAGGTGAGAACTTGCTTTCTCTAATCTGATTTACTGTAAAGAAAAATGATGGAGTATATTCTGGCTGAGGATGTGTTTCACATTTGTGTGTCAACCTTTAACTTTTTTTTTTTAATCCAAGTGTACTTCATCTACGACGCTGTTAGTTTCTGGTGTACAGCATAGTGATTCAGTCATACGTATATATGTACTTTTTTTTCTTATTCTTTTTGGTTATTACAAGATATTCGTATATCAACTTTTTCCTTTTTCATGTGCTCCTGTGCATTGATTTGTCTGCGTGTACTCCAGTTTTTGAGATTACCATTAGAAAAGTAACAATTTAAGGACAAGAACAAAAGAATAAATATTTAGATATATAAGATAGAACGTGACAGCTGTTGTTTGATGTTTCAGAATGTATGATCCACATCTCTAACCAGCTTCCTTTACTTTCTTTGTCAGTAATCAAGCCAGCCTTGTCTACCTGCAATGGATTAAGTTTCATGGTTATAAGAGGAGACAGATTTCCTTGGTTATCTTTTTTCTGAATTTAAGTTTCAGCGTAGGCAAGACTTTGAGCGTGGCCTACTGGTTACCACTAAAGAGAATGAATGATAGGATTCTGCCTTGCGTGAGACCAAGAACTAAGTAGAGAGAAAACTTTCCCGATATGTGAACCGTGGAAATTAATGATGTTCACAGACTTTTCAGGTGGTCTCAGACTGCTGCCACTATGGCCGATTTCCTTCTTCTTCCCGAGATATGACACTTGTTTGTAACATAAGATGAGGAAAAGTACAGACGCAGCACAGGGGGAGAGACTGCATCATTTCTGCAGCAGCCTGTGTTGCCTTTGATGGAGTCCTCAGTAGCCAGTGACTGTTTGATAACTGCCCCAGCTTCCCCGCCCAGCCGTGACACATCTTTCATCATCTCTTAAGTTCGAGCTTCTCAATCTCTGTCCAGTCCATCTGCAGATGAACCAGGCTGAAGGGCAGTTTTGGGACTGATGTCCAATTCTAGTCCTTTCCTGATCATAGACTAAATTAACCCAAGCATTCTGTAGTTAATCGTAAGGGTATGTATCATTCGAATACTGTGGGTTGCATCAGGCCAAAGAGGCAAACAGCAGAATGATGAGGTGAAGTGACATTTGCCAAACTTTTGCCCACCAGTCAGGAGAAGTTACTCATTCTGGGAGATCCATTTTGGACCACAGTTTAGCCTTCTCTTCTCCCTTACTCCGTGACGTAGTTCATCTGTGTGGCCACAGTGGTCCCATATATGCAGGGAAACCAAACCCAGCAGGGTGGCAGGGTCAAAAGGAATCAGGATGAGAGTTTTGTGGAAGAGTGTAAGTCCAGCTCACCCCCAGCATGCACCGTGGATAGAATGGTTGCCAAGTTTTTATTCAGAAATCAGATGTTTGTCAAGGCAGAGTTGACAGAAAACATTCAAATAAACTAGACCCTGGTTTGTAGACAACTTTCACTTGTTCGTGATCAACTTAGTTCCTGGGACCTTCCTCTCTCCTTCCCTCTTCTTTTCAGGACATCCTTCCTGCTCATGCTGTGGAGATGCCCTCTGCCCTGGCCCTCGGGCAAGGGCAGGCACGGTGACTGGGTGGGGCTGCCCTGACCAAAGGGCAACCCCCTGTTGATCCATCAGGAGGGGTCAGTATAGGGCTCTTCTGTCTCAAAAGATCCCAGAGAAATAAACTGTCCAAATGTGGCAGCTGTGTATCAGCGGGGGTGTAGCCTACGGTACAGACATAAAGGGTGCATTATCTGTTGAGAATATACAGCCATTGTAAAGAATGTCAGTGATAAAATGCTCCTCCCCACAAGAATAGACTGCCTGCCTTGGGGCATACGAATGGTGGGCCTGGGGTTTGCATGCAAGGGTGAGAGGCTGTGAAATAAACCTCTCTGCCCTCAAGGAGTTCAGAGTCTATCCAGAAGTTACTGTGATTATCTGTGTTAAAAGCTTTCCGCAGTTCTCCAGATCACCTAGAGTTGTCTATCTCACACCACCGGCCTCTCCTTATACTATTTAAATGTTTGCATTTAACGCCAGTCACCTTCCATCTTAGAGATGTCCTTCTGTGCCAGAAGAGAGATACCCTAATGCTACACAACCTGGGGTCAGGAGGCTTTAGTAGAAACTCATGGTCTTTGGATCTCTCTCCTTCAACCAACCTTCTGGTTCAGGATTAGACACAACTTTTCTCTGTGTGTTTGTGTGTTTCTGTCATTGTTCCTATGGTGTACAGCCTCTGATTAATGAAGGATTTCTTCAGTAAGCTACTTGCAATTCAGTTGGAGATGTAAAATCTTCTGGCCCAATTAAGTGATAGAATCGTTCCCAAGTATGGAGGTTCCTGGCTCCAAACTGAGTCTATATTTATTTGTTATGTCTTCCCAGTAGTTTATTATTAAAATACATACTAAGGATTTTTGGAGGGTGTTTTTGCTATTGTTTTTGTTTCGTTGCGTATTTAATCTATCTTAGACTTCCTATCTTGGGCAGACTGCATTTAAGTGTCAGCAGGCAGAATGGATTTTCCTCATTCTGCATTTCCACTGCTATTTCTTACCAAGATGTTGTGGTATCAACTGCAAAATCTCCCACAGAATTTAGCAAATGGAAAAAGTGATATGGGAGGAAAAAATTGGTGGCCCAAATATGGCAGCATGTGGTGTGGACTATGGTGGATATTCTACAGAATTAAAATTACAAAATAAGTGAAAAATAAAGAGATAAATTGCCTGGCAAGGATATTGCCAGTGGGCTTATGTTGTTCTTTAGAAATGGCACAACAGAAGATAATCAGTTATGAGTCAGCACTCTTTAAAGCACTTACAAGGGTAAATTTTTAGATCCAAAATAATCTTAAGATAAATGAACCAGGTTTTAGAGTGACTGATGGATTGAATTTCCCATAGTGTCCTTGTGTTATATGCCCCATTTGTACACTTGAGAGATGCCACAAGAAAAACAGGTTCTCTCTGCATTGCTGCTTGAAGGCAATGCAATAGGTCATTAATTTCAGGTAGTCATTCATTTCTTGACACTACTTAATATCTACCCTTTGAAATCCTGAGACTGAACAGGACTCTAATTGTGAATAGCTTAGTCATTAACAAGTGAGTCCAAAGAAAAGCTGGCAGAGGACAAACCAAATATAAACCAGTGTGTGCTGGCCTAATACAAATGTCAGAAAACAATGAATGTGGCCCAGAACATGTTCATTTTTAAACCTCATGTTCCTAAACTCCTAGAAATGAACAGGAAGGCAGAATTATATAATAGTCTAAGAATGTGAGATTTGGATACAGAATTCTTTTTTAATTGAGAGATAATTGACATACTAGTTTCAGGTGTACAACCTAATGATTTGACATTTGTATATATTAGGAAATGATCACCACAGTAAGTCTAGTTAACACCTATCACTTAACATAAATTTTTTTTCTTGTGATGAGAACTTTTAAGATCTACTCTTTTAGCAACCTTTAAATATACAATACACCATTATTAACTATAATCACCATGGTATACCTTACATCCCAGGACTTAGATACTTTCTAATTGGAAGTTTGTATCTTTTGATCCCTTTTACCTATTTCACCTATTTCACCCACCCTCACCCACTTCCTCTCTCTGGCAACCACCATTCTGTTCTGTATCTCTATGAGCTCAGTTTTTTAAAAAATTTTTTAAGAGTTCACATATAAGTGAGATCATGCAGTATTTGCCTTTCTCTGTCTGACTTCAGTTAGGAGAGTGCTGTGTTTTCACAAATGGCAAGATTCCCTGGCCAAATAATATTTATATATATATATAAACATGTAAAACATATATATATATACACACACACATATGAATGTATACATATATATACATACATTTCCTTTATCCATTCATCCATCAGTGAACATTTGGGTTGCTCATTTGTTTTGGCAATTGTAAATAATTCTGCAGTGAACATGTGGGTGCATGTAACTTAGAGTTTTTTCATTTTTTTTCAGATTAATAACCATAAGTGGAATTTCTAGATTATATAGTAGTTTTCTTTAATTTTTTGAGGAACCTCCATACTGTTTTCCATAGCAGCTGTACTAACTTACATTTCCACCAACAGTGTACAAGGGTTCCATTTTCTCCACATCCTTACCATTTTTTATTTATCTTTTTGATAACAGCCATTCTAACAAGTGTGAAGTGATATCTCATTGTGGTTTTGATTTGCATTTCCCCGATGACAGTGGTATTGAGTACCTTTTCATGTACCTGGTTGGCCATCTGTGTGTATTGTTTGGCACAGTTTATTTAGATCCTCTGCCTCTATTTAATCAGACTGTTTCTTCTGCTATTGAGTTGTATGAGAGTGTATATATAGTTTGGGTATTACCCCTCATCAGATAGATGATTTGCAAATATTTTCCATAAGTTACCTTTTCATTTAGTTGATGGCTTCATTTGCTGTTCAGAAGCTCTATAGTTTGACGTAGTCCCACTTGTTTATTTTTGCATTTGTTGCCTTTGCTTTTGTTGTCAAATCTGAAAACAACAAATGACCAAGATAAATGTCAAAAAGTTTACCACTTTTGTTTTCTTCTGTAAGTTTTCTGGTTTCAGGTCTTACATTAAAATCTTTAAGCCATTACAAGTTAGTTTTTGTGGGTGGTGTTAGATGGTGGTCCAGTTTTCTTCTTTTGAAAGCATGTGGCTATCCAGTTTTCTAACACCATTCATTGAAAACTGCCTTTCCCCCATTATATATTCTTGGCTCCTTTGCCATAAATTAGTTGACCATATATGTGTGGGTTTATTTCTGGGCTTTCTGTTCTGTCCATTTATGTGTCTGTTTTTATGGGAATACCATACTGTTTTGATTATTATAGCTTTGTAGTATAGTTTGAAATCAGGGCACATGATACCTCCAGCTTTGTTCTTTCTCAAGACTGCTTTTGCTAGTTGGGGCCTTTTGTGATTCCATACAAATTTTAGGACTGTCTGTTCTATTTCTATCTAAAATGCCTTTGAAATCTTCCTAGGGATTGCACTGAATCCACAGCTTGCTTTGGGTAGAATGGACATTTTTACAATATTGATTCTAACCCATAAGCATGGAGTATCTGTCCATTTACTTGTGTCTTCAATTTATCAATTTCTTATAGTTTTCAATGTACAGGTCTGTCACTTTTTTGGCTAGATTTATTCCTAGATATTTCATTCTTTGGATGCAACTGTAACTAGGATTACTTTCTTAATTTCTCTTATAGTTCATTACTAGTATAAAGGAATGCAACAGATTTTTGTATGTTGACTTTGTATCCTGAAACTTCACTGAGTTTGTTGCTTAGTTCTACATTTTTTGTGGAGTCTTTAGGGCTTTCTGTATATAGTATTATGTCATCTGCAAATAGCAACAGTTTCACTTCTTTCTTCCCAATTTGGATGCCTTTTATTTCTCACCTGTATCCTTATTCCTGATCTTTATTATGTTAATGTATTTTCCCTCTATACCCACTTTGTTTAGAGTATCTTAAATGGATGTTGAATTTTGTCAATGCTTTTTTGCATCTGTTGACTTATTTATATGAGTTTTAGCCTTCATTTTGTTACTGTGGCAAATTACGTTGATTGCTTTGCAGATGTTGAACCATCCTTTCATCCCTGGAATAAATCCCATTTGATCATGATGTGTGATCCGTTTAATGCACTGTCAGAGTCAGTTTGCTAATATTTTGCATTTATCAGGGATTTTCTTTTCTTGTGGTATCCTTGTCTGCTTTTCCTTTCAGGGTAATGGCCTACCTCATAAAATGAGGTTGGAAGTATTCGTTCCTCTTTTTTTTTTGGAAGAGTTTGAGGATTGGTGTTAATTCTTCTTTAAATGTTGGGTAGAATTCACTAGTGTAGGTGTCCGACCCTGGACATTTCTTTGTTGGGAGGTTTCTGAATACTGATTCAATCTCTTTATAGCAATTGGTCTGTTCAGATTTTCAATTTCTTCAGGATTCAGTCTTGGTAGGTTGTATGTTTCTAGGAATGTACCCATTACTTGTAGATCCTCCAATTTGTTGGTGTATAATTATTGATAGTAGTCTTTTATGATCCTTTATAATTCTACGGTATCAGTTATAATGTCATCTCTTTCATTTCTGATTTTGAGTCTCCTAAAGATTTTTCAATTTTGTTTACAGCCCTATATAACTGGTAAACATAAGACCCACTAGCCACCGGAGCCAGCAACCTAGAGGTGTCCCCTGGGTGCCATCTGAGGGTACAAGCGCCTTTCTTGTTGGTACCCACAAGCTGGAGCAGGCCAAGGGAGGACACCCAGATGGCTCCACAACCCACCATCTTTGAAGAGTACTCAATAGGCCCTTAGCTACATGTTAAATCAGATGCCTGCCCCTCAGGCCAGTGCGTTAGGACAAACAAATAAGCCTGTTTCACAGAAAGTCTGGTGCTTTTCAGTCGACTGCCTCTGCGCAGCACCCAGGGGCGAGCGTCCATGCAGGTGAGCCCTTGAAGAACTGCTCAGTTCACTGTAGCCTTGTAGGGCTCGTGGACACAAGCCTCGTTGGCTTTCAAAGTTACACGTTTTGGGGACTCATCTTTCAGGTGCAGGTCTTAAACGTTGTGGTACCTGCTGTGGGGTTCAAACCTTTTGCTCCACAGGAAGAAGCTGGGGGTTTTGAGTCCCCTCCCGATTGTGAGTCAAAGCACTGGGGGTGGGGGTTTATGGCAAGATGTGTCTAAGCTTCTCCTACCCATTTTAATTTGGGGTTTCTTGCTTGCCTGATGTGTAGGAGCCACTCAGCTAGATTGGGGGAGGGGGGATTGTTACATATGTGGCTGTGGATGCAGCAAGTTTATGGGAAGACGTGAGTGCAGGATCTTCCTATATGATCATTTATATCAGAACCCCCAAATGAGTTTTAATACCAATCTGTCATCTTACTGCCCTTGGGAAAGTTATCAACCCTGTGCTTCCCTTTCCTCATCTTTATATTGGGAATACAAATACCTATTTCCCAGTTGTTGTGAACACTGAATGGAATAAAACTGACTCAGCATATAGTAAGCACTTATTAAAAAGAAGCATCAGCTTGATGGTGATTATAGATGCCAACAGATCAAATAGCAACACCTGAAGTTCATCACTCTGCGGGCTGTGACAGAGCCCAACCTCAACCTTGATTCTCTGTATTAGATCATTCTGGGGAGGGGTTCTAAGGTGGGGGAAAGGGTGTCCTGTCCTGTCTTCCTGCCAGCATATTTTCATATTTTTAATGGTTTTGTCTTGATCATTTTTACTTACAGTTGACTCTTTTATATGAATCTCATTATGCTTAATGATCAGGAGACAGTTGTTTTTTGTTTGTTCATTTACTTTTTGCATTAAAGACTTTAGTTTTATAAAGCTAGGAAATAAATGAATAAATGAGGACAAAAGCAAAATGTTCCTTGAGAGCCTGCTATCCAAAGGAGGTAAAACACTTCCCTCATGTCTCCAGGCTCCCTTGACCAGAAAAATGCTCTAATATGACACTGTCTAGTAGAACATTCTGCTGGTGGTAGAAGGGGTCCTATATCTGTGCTGTCCACTGTAGTGGCCACTAGCTACTTACGGTTACTGAGCCCCTGAAATGTGGTTAGTGTGACTGAGGAGCTGAATTTTTAAATTTTCATTAATTTAAAAGTAGCCAAATGCAATCTAGTGGCTAACACTGGATAGCACAGGTCTGTGGGATAACAGAATGATGTACTCTTAAGACTGAATGACTGATTCAGGAATCAGGTGGAACAAAGTAGTTGTTTTAATCTTTTAAGTGATAAACGAGATAATACCAAAAACTTTTCTTAATTTAAATAAGACCTTTATAGCTACAAAAACAAAGCCCTTGGTACAATTCTAGGATTCTCTTAAGTATCCCCTAATTTGAAATTCAGCTCTTCTTTTTCATCTTTTTTTACTGAAGTATAGTCAGTTTACAATGTTGTATCAATTTCAGGTGTACAGCACAATGCTTCAGTCATACATGAACATATATATATATATTCGTTTACATACTCTTTTTCACCATAAGCTACTACAAGATATCGAATATAGTTCCCTGTGCTATACAGTATAAACTTGTTTATGTTTTATATATAGCAGTCAGTATCTGCAAATCTCAAACTCCCAATTTATCCCTTCCCATCCACTTCCGCCCTGGTAACCGTAAGTTTTGTTTTCTATGTCTGTGAGTTTGTTTCTGTTTTGTAAATAAGTATGTCCTTTTTTGGTTAAGATTCCACATAACAGTGATACCATATGGTATTTTTCTCTTTCTGGCTTACTTCACTTAGAATGACATTCTTCAGGGTCATCCATGTTGCTGCAAATGGCATTATTTTATCATTTTTTATGGCTGAGTAGTATTCCATTATATAAATATACCACAACTTCTTTATCCAGTCATCTGTTGATGGACATTTAGGTTGTTTCCATGTCTTGGCTATTGTAAATAGTGCTGCTATGAGCATTGGGGTGCAGCTATCTTTGAATTAAGGCTCCCTCTGGAGATATGCCCAGGAGTGGGATCACATGGTAAGTCTATTTTTAGTCTCTTGAGGAATCTCAATACTGTTTTCCACAGTGGCTGCACCAAACTACATTCCCACCAACACCGTGGGAGAGTTCCCTTTTCTCCACAGCCTCTCCAGTATTTATTGTTTCTGGACTTTTGAATGATGGCCATTCTAACTGGTGTGGGGTGGTAACTTCATTGTAGTTTTGATTTGCATTTCTCTGATAGTTAGCAATAGTGAGCATTTTTTCATGTGCCTGTTGGCCATTTGTATGTGTTTATTGGAGAATTGCTTGCGTAGCTCCTCTGCCCATTTTTGGATTGGGGTTTTTTTTTCTTATTTAGTTGTATGAGCTATTTATATATTTTGGAAATTAAGCCCTTGTCTGTCTCATCTTTAGCAATTACTTTCTCCCATTCTGTAGGTGGTGGTTTTGTTCTGCTTATGGTTTCCTTTGCTGTGCAAAAGCTTGTAAGTTTAATTAGGTCATATTTGTTTATTTTTGCTTTTATTTCTATTGCTTGGGTAGACTGCCCTAGGAGAACATTGCTGAGACGTATGTCAGATTAATGTTTACCCTATGTTTTCTTCTAGGAGATGTATTGTGTCTTGTCTTAGGTTTAGAAATTCAGCTCTTAATCCAGCAATCTGAGATGTGTCTATTTCTCACAAAACTGCTGAGTAGATGAAGGCTTATCTTATGGTTGTGCTCAATAAATACATAGTATATGAGTTACTAAATAGTTAATTCTGCAACTGGTGGAAAATGCGTTTCTAGTCCTGTAATCTGATGCAATAATTCATATGAATCTGTTGCCCACAATTCTTCTCTTGCTTTTTCTGCAGTGAGAAGGAATTAAAGACGTTATAAAGCTCAAATGGGAATGTTTGATAGTGATATGCTTTCATTATTCCTTCCCAAGGTAAATTGAAAGAATGGTCTTTGGTTCTCTATGGCACCTCCGTGCAGCCATACTCACCTACCAATGAGTTTCCTAAAGTGGAACGTGTCCGCTATAGCCGAGTCGAAGACCCCACTGATGACTATGGGACAGAGGATTATGCAGGTGAGCTGGCTTCCTATGGGGAGGCAGGCTAAGGGGAAGAAAGCTCATGCAGCATACCACTATGCAGACATAAACTTCTGCACGTGTTCTGGTGTATTTTATTCCATCTTCCTTTCTATCCGTTTTCTTCAAAGCTAAAAATCACACTATCTATATTCACATCCTTTTTTTTTTCCCATCAGAGGTATTAAGAGCATATTTCCCTGTTGTCAAATATCCTTAGAACACATATTTAAAAGACAGCATAATGTTCCATCCCATGATTGTACTGTAATATAGTTAATCCATAATCTGGGATGTGTAGCTTGCTTAAGAGTTTTATACTTTTTTTTTAAAAGATTTCAATGAATATCATTATCTGTCTGACTATATCTATTTCTTTAGAATAGGGTTCTGTTCTAAGAATTATTGCATCAAAGGGAATAATCAGCTTTAGGGCTTGTGTATGTCTGTTATGTCGCTTTCCAGACAGGATGTACCAAACTACAAGATGTACTCATTCCTGCCAGCATCGAGTGGAAAGCAAAAAAGCTTAAAACACAAAAATGTTTAGATTGCTAGTAAACATTTTTTTTCCTTTGTAGTTCTCTGAATTAAGTATGACTGTCTTTTACCCACTTTTCTATACAGAGTGCCAGCAATTTTCTTATTTATAAGAACTCTTTGTACTTTATTGACTCTCACGTTGTCTCATATTTGCTGAAAGTGTTGTCATCACTTGCTTCCAAAATAGTTTTTGTTTTGTATTGTTTTGCCAGAAAAACAAAATTGGAGCATAGGGTCTATAGTTTCAGATAACATTTGTAATTTTTTAAAGAATGTTTATTCTTTAAAATCAGCTATAAATATTCACATGCATATGTTTTTGAAATCTGATTTTTACATTTGGCCATTAATTCATCTAGAACTTGTTTTGTAATATGTAGTGGGGAAGTGAAGTTCTTTCTTGTATTTTACAAATAGACTAACAATGACTGAGTTGCTATCCCTTCTTTTATTACTTTATGATGTTTCCTTTATAACATTATAGTAAGTTCTTATACCAGGGTGTCTTCTGGTACCACCTTTTCTGATTTATCAATCTACTAATTCTTAATCCAGTAGTAGCCATACTATATCTTAACATCTGTTGAACATTGGCTTCTTGTTCTCATAGCAATTCTTAAGTTACCTCTTTAAAAGTATCATTGGAACTTAGTTTGGATTAAGATGCAACCTCATTGGAAGAATTGTTTTTACAAATACAGTCTTTCCATCTAAAACACAGACCATGTCCCATTTTACTGAAATCTTTTAATTTTATGTAGTTATTTTTGTTAGTGTTATTTTTATATATTTTGGGTCCTGTCGCTCCTGTAGTGGAAAACAGTCCATGTTTTCTAACTACCATATGCTGTTATCTAGGATATCTGTTGGTATCTAGGATATCTATTGGCTGTTGCATGTTTCTCTTACCTCTGGCCATTCTGCTTAACTATATTAATTTATTTCTGAGGCAGTTTAGGTCTTATAGCCATATGCTCTGCAAATTATTTTTTCTCTTTTCCCAATGTATTTTTGATTCTTGTCTTGTTGCATTGGCTACCATCTCCAGAAGCATTCAGTCTTTCTGGGAAATGATATATAACGTTGAACAAAGCTGCTTCCACTAGAGAACTATTTGTAAATAGCAGTTGAATGTACCTTTAGACGAGAACTATCATTTTTCCTGCAGCTCTCTGATTCTTTTTTGTTAGTTTCTTTAACAGAATATTTTGAAAATGCATGTGGTTCCTTTTATTCTAAACAGGTAGTCTCCCATTATCAATAATAAGCTTAGATAACTCAGACCAACTGAGCTAACCAGAGCTAAATTTTGTTTGATTTTTTTTGTCTTATAACATTACTATTTATATTATAACTAGCAAACTAATTTGTCTTATCCGATAGGACAAAGTATACCCAAAAACATAAGTGGAGCATAATAGTAACCACATAGCAGGTAATAGTAACCTGCTATGTGACTTATGGTATGTTTCCAGTTCAAATTTTGATAATGTTAAAATTCTGAACAGTTATACCTCTTTGTGGTTTTTCTCACTACATCTCCAAAATGTTCACATTGGCACTTGTGAGAGAACAAAGACAATTATTTCATTATTACCCAGCAACCCAAAATGCTAAACTGCATCTGGGACAGTTTAAGATTATGAAAGAAACAGCACAACATGTGAACTTGCCATACAGAGCCTTTTGGCTCATATGAAAAATAAACGGTTTGGGTTTTTTTTTAATTATAGGAATCATCTGGTGAAAATTTAGGGCCACCCATGATTCCTCTTCTCTGGAACTGTGATTTTTCACCTTCATTAAGAAGTCAGCCTGTCTAGAGGCACAGATGGCATTATCATAACCAGATCCCTGTACTATTTCATTGAATTCCAGGGACTGTGAGACCCACAGCTGGCTAAACTTCAACCCTTACAGAGCAGACACACTCTCCTTGTGTACCACAATAGACAGCTAAAAATGTCCCAAGTTATACTAGCTGTGGAATTTAATTTAGAGATCAATTTTAAGGCTTTTGAGAAAATAGAGATAAATAGTGTTGTTAAATGACTTGCAATTAATCAGAAGTATATTTCAAGTCTGCAGCATTTTGAAATGACTCTTTTCCGTTCAGATCAAAAGGTCATGATTTACCACCCCTAAGTAGGAGACCTGGACTAAGGAGCAGGACCTCTGTTGACCCCAGCTCCCCTAGCTGCTCCCCCAGCCGTATGATACTGGGCAAGCCATTCTAACTCTTGGAAATTTGTTCTTGTCTGTAATAGGAGGATGTTTGACTAGCACTTACTGAGATTTTTCAGTAAGTCATTCTCCCCCACTTCTACCATTTTATGTTTCAATTTAGTAACTGTAGAACATAGTCCTACAATGACTAAAGGAGACTGAGTTTCAAAAGCAAGTCCTTCTGACTAAAATAAGTATGGGTCAAGACATTTCTGGCACCCTTGACTTAACTTTTTGTACAGCTCTTGCACTGTTTATTGCTAGTTAAAATCATACCAATTTTCAGTGAGAAAGAGCTTGAAGGTTACGAGGACCAAGTGGCTCAAAATACGGAACACAAGGGAAATAGGGAGAACTAGCCCATGTCATTAGACAACTTGTCATCAGTCACAAACTAGCTCCATCTTTCTGGCTTTTTTTTTCCCGCCTGCCTCTGCATTCTCTCTAGCCCTTTACAAAAGAATACACAGCAGGGGCGATTAGGAACCTTCATCTCAGGTCTGGAATTCTTTAAGCTTGCTTGCATCTTTGAAATTTATGTGTGGTTTTCTTTTGTTTAGTTGCCCACTGGCGTACGGAT